CCAATTGCCTATGCGATTGTCGATGAAGAGAGCCAGGAAAGCTGGTCATTTTTCCTGACAAATCTCCGGCAACATGTTGTCGGCGACAGACAGATATGCTTTCTTTCGGACAGGGATGCGGGCTTACAGAGTGCCGTGGAATCATTGGAAGCTTGGCAAGAACCCGCTGCATATCACCGGATTTGTCTTCGACACCTTCGGAGCAACGTGGTTACTAGGTTCAGGAATAACAAAATCCGAAATTGGTGTTGGGAGTTGGGTTCAAAGGTTTCAGAGAAAAAATTTGAACAGATACGATCGCGGCTTTTGGATTTTAATCCAGACGCATACGAGTACCTGTTCAGAATTCCTCTAGACAAGTGGACTTTGTTTGGAGACGGAGGACGTAGATGGGGTACTTTGACAACCAACATGTCTGAGAGTTACAACAACGTCCTGAAAGGTGTTAGGTTCTTGCCCTGCCGAGCTTTGGTACACGCCACATTCATGAAAACTCTGGACTTGTTTGAGCAGGAACAAAAGAAGTCCACGAGATGCAGTAATGCCATTGCTAGTGCCCACTATGCCGCTTATTGCGAATTGGAGGCTACGGCCGCAACTCATGAGGTGCGATGTTCGAACGCAGAGAGATCCCTGTACAAGGTGATAACCTGTCTACGGACTGATGGTAGAGGCGACAAAAGGTATACGGTTTATTTATTTATTGTATAGTTATTATTTTTTTTATTTTGGTTCATTCAAATTTTTAGTTGTTTATAAATATAATTAAATGTGGAAAAACAGGTATAAGGTTTCGTACAACCGGATGCGTTGTAGTTGTCAGAAGTGGCAGACACACAGGAAACCATGCTCTCATGCTATAGCTGTGTGTCGTCAAATAAAAGGTCAACCAAATTTATTGTACGATCCCCACTTTTGGACGGAGAATTGGGTGGCTCAATTTTCTAATTGGAGTTTTGCTCCGATTGGTGATCCAGACACATGGCCGCTAGTCGGATGGAACTTACTACCAAATTGGCAGAGGATCATCACGAAGGCTGGACACGGTCGCGCGCAAACGAAGCGTCATCGCATGCAAATGGATCGCCGGGCACGCCGTCGGGCTGATAGAGGACAGTGTAGTAGATGTGGTAATCCACAGCATTTTGTGGATGACTGTCCGTCCTCGCATCCTCGCACTGATAGATCTAGAGTCCGTGATGAGTGGGGAAACTAGATTTGTTAGTGTTTATTTTTTTTATGTTGGACTATTTTTTTTATTGTTTACTTTGATTTGTTAGACTATGTTTGGATGATATATTTTTGTTATGTTGGACTGCATATGAGTTTACTTGTGTATGTATTTTGGTGTAGTTGGTTGTTCTGAATATTTGTAACAGGTTTTTAAATGCTGAAACAATTGAAAGAACAAGTTTTTTTTTTTATAACAGCTTAAAACGTATTTAGTAAATACGTTTTTAAAATAATACATATTAGAAAACGTATTTGCTAAATACGTTTTCAAAGAATTCATATTTATTTAGAAACCGTATTCCCTGAATACGGTTTTAAAATAATTCGTATTAGAAAACGTATTTAGCAAATACGTTTCCTTAAGAATAAAAAAACGTCAAAAATGGTAGGAGGATCCCAGATTCGGGACTCGAACCAGGGTGGGCGAGTCCGTTATCTATGGGCGCACTTCGTTACCATTGGGCCACACTAGGCTATCGCTGAAAGTTTTGCACAACTTTTGTTGTTATCCTTCAACTTCAAAATTTTTTATAGTATATAATATTGTTAATATATTGTATATACATATATATTATAATTTGACATATAGTATATATCATATAGTAGTATATAGTATATATATTATATAGTATATATATTATATATTATATACTATATAGTATATAATTGAGTTCGATTGTACAATTAAACTCAATTATAGTACAATTAAACTCGAATATAGTGAAATTGAACTCGATTATAGTGAAATTGAACTCGAATTAGTACAATTAAACTCGAATTAGTATAATTGAACTCGAATTAGTACAATTAAACTCGAATTAGTACAATTAAACTCAATTATAGTGAAATCGAACTCGAATTAGTACAATTAAACTCGA